TATATATATATAAAAAAAGTGGCAATTTTCTGTAATTAAAAAAAAAATCAGGAAAGGATGCAATCATCCAGGTAATTGTGAGTTAACTGATGCCCTGCATCGGACAGTCTTGTCAAACTCATGCTGGTGAAACTGAGCTCATACCAGTCAGTTTACTGAAATACTTGTCTAGCATACATATATTTAAATCAAAACGACATTTGGCTAAAGGATGAGTGTAAGAAAATAGATTTTTGCACGCTACAGCAAAAGACCTGCAGAGGGCCACAGTATAATAAGCTTTAAAAGAGTCTGTGGTACAAGAAATTCAGCCTCATGACCTCTTTGCTCAGAACACTGGTGGAGTATTCTGCATAACTGACCATATGCACGGTTTACATGGGTTTGTGTAAGCAATGCTAGGAGTGTCTGCACTGCATGTTTTACTAGACATTTATGGTTTAAGACCTCTTTTAGCTCCTATGGAAGGCAGCCAACAAAGATGTTTTCAATAGTTAACAAGGAACAGAAATTAAATGACGAGTTGCTGGTTTTAAGAAGCTGAGTCATCATTGTTTTGAAATATGGCACCATATGGATCACTGTTAATGCGCTTGTAGACAAAGTGAAAGACCTGGGGTTGCGGACGGCTGTGCAACTCTGCTTTAATTTTCTGAGGGTAGGTATCCTCTGTCAGTTGCTGCCAGGTGTCGTCAATAAAAAGAAACAGGCTATATTCTTCTGGATTGTCCACTTTAAACTTTTCAGCACAAAGCTGACATACATCTTCGGTAGTGATATATGGTCTTACTAGTAAGGTCTTTCCTGTACATCCACTGTTAACTTCTTGGAATGCAACACGAAGGTAGTTCTGTAAAATGAGAAATCAGAGATCAGAAACTCAAAAAACCCCAAAAAATCATCATCTGAAAACTGAAGAATCACCAACAAACACCAAGCCTCTCTGCATTCTAGTTGTGAAACACACACCAGTGAGTCCTGTACACGGCCACTTTGTGAATGGCAACATTGGTGGTAAAACTGTGGCAAGCCTGTGGTGGGCGTAACAGAAATTCCTATACCAACATTCTCCTTTCCTTTGCTTACATTCTAACCCTGCAATTAAGAGCAAACAGATACAGCCTTAAAGCCACGTGGAAAACACCAGTGGTGTTAATGGAACTTGGTATTTGGCCTTACTAGGAAACAAAATGCTGTGAAGCAAAATAAATGTCTGAGGCAGCACGCCCAAGAGGTGATGCTGCCACTGCCAAGTTAATCCTAGAGAACAGAAGCTTCACGCAGTATGTTAGTCAGAATGAAAAAGGAAAACAAAAAACCCTCTGCCAGTGGTACACAAGGGTGTTGATCCACAAGTTACCGCACAATAAACTGTTTGTGCTCTTATGCTGCAGTATACAGAAGGTAATCCATCCTCACGCAGGACATTTTCATCGCGTAAGCCGTTGGCAATTTGGTGCCTGAGCCTGATGTAACCAAGTTTCGTGTGAAAGCATTTTCTTTTTTAAAATAAGGCTTAAAGGGATGCTGAAAAAAAATTTACTCTGCAGCTTCAGAGTAAATCCATATGATCTTGAGGCAAAAGCTGGATCTTTTTTCTCTGTAGAAATTGACACATGCCCACAACTCTGCTAACATGGACAAATTCTAAATATGCCCTGCAAGGACATGCATGTCTACCTTTCAAAATGTATTTGAAAAATAACACACACAAAAAAACAACCACAACAACTTTGGACACATGAACGAAACAGCCTGCTGTCACTTTTTTTTATTTAAAGAAATTAACTGCAATTAAAGACTAAAAAGCAGTAAAATTAAAGGAGGTGGAAAAAAAAATGACAGTGAGAAAGACCTGTTTATTGACTGAGCTGGTATCTATGTTTGTACGCTGAATAAATTAAGCATGCTAAATAACAATGATAAACATCTACATTTCATAAAAAAAAGCTGCTAAAAGCTAAGACTGAAAAGAATGTTCATATGACTTAAGTTCCAAAGAGCACTCGTGTCTTTAATAAAGTATTTTTTGATAGCTTGCAGACCTAAGCTTTACAACAGCTTTTAAACCATTTGGGACTGAACCTGACTGAATAGAACTAATCCATTTTTGTTACCCAGTGTGAAGATATCATAAAAAAAAGAGCCCTAAATAAGGCAAAACACAGTACAGTTTTAGTTTCTAATGTAGTTAACACACAGAAGACCTGTTTCTAAATGCATGTGCTTTTAGATGGACAGGATTCCTTCAAGAAGAGACTGAAGTTTGTACAAATGCCTGTAATGCGTGTACGAAGTATCAAAATTATTTAAGCAGTATCAGAAAGTTGTATTTAATCAAAGTTATGGATTTTTTGCCTTTCCATCCTTTTGAGGGAGGGAGGGAGGGAGGATGAAGGCCTTCCAGGGCCCAAAAGCTGATAAGGCTTCAAGACTGCATCACTGAAATGCAGCGATCGCATCCTGGTTCAATGTGGGAAAGGTAAGTTGAGCTAAAGTTGCATTACACATTGGTTGTAGGGAAGGTGCTTCATTTCAGGACTGCAGGATGTGGAAAAAGGAGATGGAAAATTGGTGTTCTGAGCAGACAGCAAAATGCCTGAATTTGTTCCAAGCATAGCCTGGAAATGGTGTGGTCTTACTGATCCAAGGCTCTCTTTTGAAAGAGACAACAGAAGGAGAACACTGGACACACTCAGTGCCAGCTCTTCCCCTCCGCCCCTGCATCTTCCCGCATCCAGCTGTACAATTAGCTTGGCTGAAGTTCATTTGCTGAGGAAGAGAAGGTGAAATGGAATACAAGATGCTGCTGAAGGAATGTTCTGTCATTTAGTCATCCAGCAGAAATACAAGTTGATGAATTTTCCCACGAAGAGTGTAGTGTTTTGCTAGAAAGAAGAAAGACTGGAGCTACGTGAATCTGACACCTAACTACAGATAAGCAGAATATAAAATGGATCCTGGTAACATGGACTAGCTTTGTGCACTGGCTGTAGTCTGGAATTTCTGTTAATAAGTTCTCCCCTTCCTAAGGGAGACAAGTTGTGGAAGACTGCTTCTTTTCCCAACTCCTCCTGTTCAGTGTTGTGCTGTAGTTGTTTGCACTGACACTGATAAAGCAGAAGGGGCCGCAACTGAAAGGTTTCGTTATCTTCTGATGACCCCACCCCTTCATTTCTCAAGTTCTGAACTACATTATGTCTAATTGATGGTTGTCATTAGCCTCTCTGGCAGCTTTGAGCTGTGGCATGAACTGTAAACAACTGAACACAAAGAAGTAAATCCTTTCTTCTCGATTCCAACATCTTCCCTGCTTCAGTCCATGAACTGATGCATCTGAACAGACAGTCAACAGCATACTCTACGAATGACATGCAGGCCTGGTTTTAAAAATGAAGTAATCCCGACTGTTTTGTTATTCTTCAGTTGAAGTTACTGCCCTACTCTGAAAGAGCAGTAAGAAATGGAAGGGAGGGGAAAAAACACAAACAAATATGAAGACATCCATAGCATAGAACTCTACTCCTTGCTTAAACTTTAAAACTGTAGGCAAGCTTTTCTCCCACCTCTCCTCTCTATTACCTGCTGTATCCCACCATTAGCTACTGGGTAGTTGTGCTGATTTATACCACTGGAAATCTGGATTTGCTCTTCTTAACAGTAAAGCATTCAAAGAAGCTGAATCTAAGATATGAATTAGTTTGTCCTTGCTCTGCAAGACTTAAATAGAAGGGAGGGTGGGAAAGCTCCATTATTTAGTGTTTTCCTTAGACCATCATAATCAAACTCTATTATAAAGTGCAAAGACTTGAAAATCAATGCAAATTTGCCAGCCATATTCTCAGCCCTACTTCACTCCACTTATCTTGTGGCCCCAAGGGAATCGTTATGAATCACACCTCTCAAATGGGGATTTCCAACAAAACAATCATCCCCTGTTTTTCTCTTCAGCCCTGAACTCTACCTGAAAATCATCAACTGAAGGTATGGTCCTGTTAGTTGTCCTCCTCTTGTGCCATTGCCGGAGAGTATCTCTGGCTTCTGAACTGAGCAGTCGGGCAGCTTGTTCTTCCTGGAAGTTCTTGATCAGTGAAAGTGCTCCATAAGCACTTGTCAGGTAATAGCCTCCTGTGAAGGACAGCAAGGGAAGAACTTCTCAGAGTGGTCACAAACACCCTGCTAGTTCCCACTGGTCACAGACAGAAGTACAAACACTTTTTTTTATCTATCTATCTATCTATCTATCTATATATATCTGTCTATATACACACACACGTATATACACATATAAGAGTTTCTGTATTTTATTGCCGAAATATTTATACATAAAGAAAAACAGCTCACTGGCCTGCAAAATACTGGATCGTGTGTTCTCAGCTGCTAAGAGACATGCAGTGGTTGCATGTGCTCCATGTTATCAAGTGGTGCAATAGTATCTAACTCTGGGTCCACTAGTGCTGGGGATAGCCGGTTACTTAAATGACTGGTGCCACTCCTTTACTCTCAAGTGTTTTTAGAAGAAAACTCATGTTCCAGCTTTGTAAATGATTTCCAAACAGTGATTTGTTTTTTCCCAAGCTTGAAGCGTGGATGAAATAAACATAGCTGTTTAAACAAAGTAAAAGACAATCTACCCCTGTTCAGGAACTTAAAAGCAATGACCCTTCGTGGCAATAAAGCAACTGAGTGTGTGATTTGTACCCTGGAAGCATCCCAAAGAGTTTGTTTTTGTTTTTAGAAGGAAGACTGTGTTTGTCACCTTTTTAGTGCTTCCCATAATGTCTAGCTAGTTGAGGAGGTGATGTGTACAGTCCTCCATACTTCACCTTTCTTACATGAGTGGAGAACAAATTAAAGCCACAAAAGAGTTGCTGATGTACAAAAGAAGCCGCAGGTCACAAAGGAAAAGGAGTCTCAACAGGAGTTCACAGTCCTCAACAACAAGGAGAAACAAAAGACATGCTGTCATTTATTTCTCTTGCCCCCCCCGCCCCATCCTTTTTTTTTTTTTTTTTTTTTTTTTTTTAAGTACACTATTTGAGTGGGAGTGTCCAATTAAAGGCAGCACAGTCTCTTCATGGAGTCACTCAAAGATGCATTCTATGCTCACAGTACTATTTTCTGTATTACTGAGAGCATCCTCTTGGCCTTTAGCATTGCAACAAGTTTAATACAGAAAATGCAGGCAAGACCCATGGGACAAACTGGACAGTATATTACATTTGAACTGCACAACCCCAAGGCACTAAATTTTTCCTGCACAGTATGGTTCAGCTGGTGCCAAAGACAAGGCCCAGTCAATGGATAAGACTTCTTTTGCTGCATGAAAAACAATGTGACTTAGTAGTCCAGTAAACGTTTCTGCCTTTCAAGCATGTTAACTATCTCCAGCTTCACATCTCAAGTATTTTCCATGCTAAGATTCCTGAACAATGCACTAGAGGATGCTCTGTACACAAATAAGCGAACAGACTAGTGCCAAATTGGAGGAATCCTGGCATGATTTTCTCATGCATACCAGCATGTAAGAGGCTACAGCAATTTCAGCAAGCCAAGAGATAGCCGGAATGGGAAACACACACATATACTTAAACTCACAGCTGAGCTTGGTCACAAGATAGATTCTGGTGCCTACCAAGGGCTTGCAGAATACCTCTTTGTTAAAAACACCACCATGAGAACAGAAAGGAGGGAGATTTCCTTGCCTCTAGTGGACTTCAGCCATCATTCAAGAGTGCCTTAGGAAACATACTCCTAGAGCTCATACAAATACTTTGTGAGAAGCAAATACTGGGAGGAAACAAAGATCATCAAGGGGGGCAATATTCTCAAAAGCACTTTCCCCAGGGGGGCAGAGAATTCCCTCAGAAGTTTTTACAAAGCACCTAACCCAAGTCCCATTATGTCTCTCACAATTTAACTGAATGCTGCGGCCCTATAAATACTCCCAGGATATTTCAGGCACAGAAGGATAACCACATTGTGGGATGCCTCCCACTTCTTAGTTGAAAACAACACACTCCCTCACCTCATAAGGTAGTATACACATGAGTAGATTCCCAGGTCACTCAGGCCTGTACTCTGCAAGCTAACCAGCTTTCTCTTACTTTAAGGTGGGAAATAGTTATGAATTCTCTTGTTACACTACCAACATTGTTGACTTTAGGACTCCCCTTGAAAGGATTTCTACTCAAATAAGGTTAACAGCAACTGTGCTGTGAGGAAGAATCCCCCTTCCCTAGTTCTTCACTCAATTCTACTAAAAATAAATAAAGAGATTACCTTCTCCATGCAGCAAAGATGGATCCAGCAATTCCATCATGTATTCAATTTCAGTATCCAGCTCCAGCATATCGCACTGGGCTAGTACGTATGTCAACACAGGCAAGAAGTCATCAGCTCCATACAGCCTCCCTGGGTTGAAGGGAACACAGATAGTGATAGATAAACCGCAGCCTTTTACCAGCTTCAGTGTTTGAAAGCGTTATTTTACTGCCTTCACTGACCAGTACGTTTGTATTACTCTAGAGCCTCCTGTTACCAAAGTGCAGGAAAGAGAATGTCATCTGACACTCGCTGGACAGGACACGAACACCAGCTTCATCTTGGACTTCTAACAAACACAAATCTGATGATCCACACCGTGAGGCATGCAAGGGAATTTAAAGACTGGGCCCACCTTGGCAGCAGCTCAACTGGTGAACTCACAAAAGGCTGCCATGCCAGTCTGGCCTGACCTCCACCTGCACTTGTAGCACTAGCTAAGAGATGACAAATGGGCATTTTCTTTATACATGCAGGGATGGCATCCACTTTCTGGAAGAATCCAGTCACAAATACCAGTTTCTGAGTCTGAATCCCAGCAGAGAAGTCTGAACTAAGAGCCTATGAGATTTGACATGAAAACTCAGCTCATTTCCTTGACAGAGCATAGTTGAAAAGACCAGTGAGCAAAGCCTCTTACCATTCCCATCATGAAGCATCATCGGCAATGCCAGCACACAGCTAACACACAGAGATTACGCTGTACCTAGGTCTGTCTGTGCTATCACTTTTACTGCATTTAAACTTTGTGTTTAGAAAATACTATGTGGCCAAATCTCTGGGTCTGGCCAAACCGTGTTCATTGTAGAACTGGTGTGATGGTCACTTAAAATCACCACGAGCAGGAGCCAACTTAAACTTCGGTGAAACTCCAGATGACTGAAAGGCTGGTATCTAAAGTTACACCAGCTAAGGCATACCCTCCAGGTATTACACTATTATCTGGCTGAGAGTAGATGACAAAGCAGATTCTCCAACAGTTGATGGCTCAATGCCATGTTTTACAAACCCCACATGACAAAACAAGACAACCCAAGGAGCATTTGCCACATCTTGGCCCAAGCCTCTCACTCCAACAGTTAACTGGCAGCAGCCTCTGAATATTTTCCTTCTGCATTTTGGAAATATGTTACTCAATGTGATAACAAGGCATGGAGAAAAGAGTTTACAGCACTTCAGGCCAAGATTCCTATATCCATTTTAAAATGCAGGATTTTGCACAAAAATAAAAAGCTGGGCAGGAGCTCGGACCTAAATCTTGCAAAAGTGCCTGGGGGGCTTTACCAGCCACAAGCTTGCACCATTCATCTCAAATCTCAAAAGAAAGTAGGCATCTTGAGAAGCACCAGACCCAGCTGTACGTTCAATGCTCATTTAGAAAGAAAACTGACAACAACCTGCAGCAGCTAATACTTGCTTAGGGGAAAAAAAAAAAATAAAATCTCCCACTACGACCAGCGTTGCTTCACCTTAGCTGGTGACCTACCACAGTAGCGTATGATAAGATGTCAGGCAACAGAGTTGCACCTATGAATTCATGCCATCTAGCATAACGTTTTAATTGTGCCACTGACTATGCAGCATGTCTTAACTGTTCTATAGTTCCATTTCATTATCTAGGTTTCAAGGTCACTTTTGGACTCTTGCTACAGTGTAGAAATAGATGTTATTTCTGTTCCAAAAACATGAAAGATTTTTAGTGTCCAAATGAGAACGTTCAGGGGCACAGTAAGCTGAAAATACTGGATCAGAGGCTGCTTTCCTCCACCCATTAACAGAGAGACCTTGTAGTTCTCATACTGCATATATGCTATTGAATTACTATAGCTAAATACAGGGTGTTACCTCTATTACAACTTCCAGAAAAATACTCATTTAGAACCAGCGTCAAATTCAAGGCTCACACAACAGCCTTTCTGACAGCCAACTTCAAAAGCCTATGGCTAAGCAAAGCTGTTTTTTCTCAAGTTGCTTCACAACTCTGCTTCACACTGAATTTGTAACATGTGCTGCCAGATGCATCAGAGATATCAGGAAAGAAGTAGAGAGGAAGAATCCCTTTCAAAAGGGCAAATACAAGAGCTCCAGAGAAGGAGACGTAGCTGCAGAATCAGGTGGTCTGATTTCCTCACCGAAAGACAACCCCATGTCTGGAATATCGGTGAACTTGAACCACAAGAAGCACCATACCTGAGTTATTCTCCATAACAGTGTAAATCAATTTGCAAACTCTCAGCAGCAGCATGACTTTCTTTTCAGGTGAATACATTTTCTGCATGGTCATGAACTTGACTTTAATCTTTTCAATGTCCACAAAGTCTGGTGTTGGAACAAACACGCCCAGTTCCTGAGGATTCCTCTGCCGCACCAACTGCAGGTTTTCCTTTAGCTGTTTCCAAGAACCATCTGCAGTATGAAATTCTTTCAACATCGCTTCAATGTGGCCCTTCAACGGCTTCAGAATGCACTTATGCATGGCCTTCTCCAGGACAACATCTGCAATGGGAAAACACAAGTCCAGCTGACTTCCTCCTCTACAGCAGAGCCAGTATTAATATAACCATTCCCAAAAGAGACACTGTAGAGCAAAACCTACTTGCTAAGGTCTATTTATTATTCAAGCTGAATTTCCAGATGTTCATTAACAAGAAAACAAAAGGCAGAGCAGAATCTGTATTCCATTTTGATTTATGGCAATTTGGTAAATACGAAAAAACCCCACAAAGACAGACTACAGACTGTCACCAAGAAAAAAAGCAAGTTGCGGTTCCAGTTAACTTTTTCTTTTGTTGGCCAGAAGTCTCCATGTTTTATTTACTTTGAGCTTTGACTTTAACTCCCAAACTTAAACACAGTCAAAACCATAACTTTTTTCTGCTTTGGCATGAAAACCCATCCTTTTTGCATAGTTTCCATCAGAAACTATAACTCAACCAAGGTCTCCTAAAACTTGGCTTAACTTTGTCAAGATCTTTATGAAGCTGGACAGATTATGGGCTTTAAACTATAAATGAAAACCAAGCTGTGTTTGTCCAGCTTCAGATTTCATCATGCAAGCTTATATACAGCTTTGTCATCAAGTTTGAAGTTCTTTGTTTGGCAATAGTATGCACGTGGCACAGTAACCACTAACTTAGTCTTAGGGTTTTTTTTAATTCTTGCTCTACTCAAGTTTTTCTTTAACACTCATTCTCCATTTTCAAAGCATAGACCACATCAGAGAAAGCTCTTTGATAAACATTTTTCTCTGCAAACCTTTACTTTATAAGCTAATTTCTTCTCCCACTCAGCGTCCCTATGGCAACACAGATTACACTAATAATTAGCTTACATCAATTATTTGTACCATAGAGAACTCCCACAAGCACAAAACAAACTGGGGACCCTTCAGCCGCTGCACCAACACCCTGACGGTGGGGCAGGACCAGAGCCTAGAGTAGGCAGATGTACTGGGCGAGCACAGGGACCAAGAGCAGAAAGAGGACTGCATCGCTGCCAGATGACACATT